TTCCTGGTTGCTGCTTGGGGTCTGCGAGACAGCGAGACACTGTAAAACTCACAGCCTGGCTGTTCGTCAAACACTCACAGCCTGAGAAAAGATAAGGCAGTCAGTGTATGTGCCGGCGAAACTCCGCGCAGTAGTGCGGCTGAGAAAAGACAAGGCTGAGTGAGTGTTTCTCTGCGATCCCAACTCGTCTATGACCAACGTTCAGGTAGCTCTATGCTCGACGCTAAAGGTCCCCCCACTGCGTTTGATAGTGTTGCAAGGGATCCTGGTGTGTGAGGAGCTCCACGGATTGGTCCATTTGGATATGGTGACGTCACTGTGTGTGTGTACTCGCTACAGGGTGTACTTGGAGGGTTTGTGACTTTGCAGACCGTTTACATGCAGAAAAAGCTACATCACACCCAAGGGGATGGGTAATAACCAGAAAAGCATGACATGGGACCTTTAAGCTGCGTTTCCATTACAGTTAGTAACATTCCGGGTATTCACAACTCCGGACCAAAGAGTATGTCACAACATTCCAGGAGGCAAACTTTGTTTCGGAAAAGGCTGCGTATAGCAAGACAAAATACAGAAGAAACTAACAGGAGAGTTTGGGCAATCATACAACATGTATATACATGTGTTTGTCAAATGATTTTTTTTTAAAAAGTTATCAGAATTGACTATTAAGTAAATATTTGAATTTCAAGCACCTGTATACTGCCCCATAATAAGAACATTTGAGAAAATAACAGATCATGAAAAGAAACTCTTTCTAATAAATTAAGGTCTGTTTTGTTTGTTTAGATCTACTGTTAAAGATGGGGTAAGTTTGAGAAACCGGCTCGAGATACACTTTTTGTTATATTCCATGGAATGATCTTAACATCCCGAAAGCAATGAATATCTGAAGTGCTTTGACAATAAATACATAAAAGAAGCCGTAGTTCTGTAAAAAGCACGACCAATCATCTGAGCCGGCTAAAGTAACTGGATGGCCTACCTGCCTGTCAGCCTTCCATCTGGGCACAAACTTATCTCGTGCCCTCATTGGTCATGTGCGCGTTCGTGTGTGTTGGAGGAGGGGCTCTGTGAGGAAGTGGCAGATTGTTTCTAATTCTAGCGCACTCGAGCTGGTTTCTCCAAAATGACCTACCCCACCTTTAACACAGAGGAAATCACGATAACAATACTTGTTACAAACAAACAGTTTAATCATCAAACAAGTGCAAATAACAAAGCAAACTATAAACATAAATACAACCGTTCCTGCTGGGCCCGGTTCAGCTCCTGCTGGGCCAGATCTGCACTGTGCATCTCCCTCAGGACTGTGAGGTGCTCCTCTCCTTGTTTCCTCTTGCCTGGAAGACAATAAGATAAAGCTTTTTTCTTTTTAAATCACCGTAGAGAGATTCAGGTGCCATAGCAGCTGCAGCAATAAGAATGAAACACACAGGACAGGTACAGGTCACGTAAGGACATAAGAATAAAATATATAAGTATAAACAGAACAACGGTAAGGATGAACAAAAGACGGTTCTGGCTCTAGATGTTTACAATGATTGTGAAAGTGAATTACATTATGTCCAGCCTGTTGATAATGAATATAAATATATGTATGTACAAATATACAGTCATGAAGTAAATGGATAATTACAAATGAATATAAGTATGAATAATTATGAGACCAGTTTAAAGTGCAAAAATACTTAACAATGAAGAATATACAAGAATATATTAGGATGTCACACAATTTTACTAGCTAAAACATTAATAGTGATTCTTACTACTTTTACTTTTGGTACGTTACTTTACTTGTAACAGAGCATTTCCACACATTGGTATTGCTTATTTTACTTACTGACGATGATCTAAAGTTTAAAAAAAGTCACAATTCCAGTCGTTTTGCCATTTCTTACTTAACTCTAGAAAACTGGACGTAAACAATGGTACATATGGTGTTAGCAAACAATAGCTCTTGCTAATGCTATCTGTGCTAACCGTAGCTCTTCGGGGCTCCATAAAAGCAGGGGTTGTCGAACATAAATGTAAGAATAAAATAGGCATGTTTGTTAGAAATTAGCTTTACAATATTATTTGAACCAGCTCATGGTTTGAAATGGCAAACATTGAAAAGCAAAAGTATTAAAACCATGTACTAAATCATCACCTTGGTCCCATCATATGCTCTGGGAAGAGAATATTTACTGTGCTTGAAAACTGGATCACATCATCATGTGAGGTTGACGTTGTGACCTGGAGAACATTTCAGCTGCAACATTTGCTCGTTGATAAACTTGGGATATGAGATAGTTTTGTAGCCATTCGTGGCGAAGGCATCTGTGCTATTGTATGGATTATGTTTGACCCAACATTTCTACAGGCATGATCCCTGTTGCTGAAACTGTAATTTAAGATTAAATATGGCACTAAGTATTTTTACATGAATATTCTTGCCATTGTCTATTTTTATACCACAAGCTGCAAAATGACCGCCTAACCCCACTGTACAGGCAGGTACTTGTTTAGATATTCCTGGGCAGGCTCTGTTTTGCCGTGGTATCCTGGCACCCGCGGGCCGCAGAAGGGCGGCGTAGTTTCGGGCGACGAAGACTGCTGCTCCGGGGGCGAGGGCGGAGAGTCAGGCGGGAGTAAGCTAGTGTCCACAACGGAGGGTAACGTGATGTCCCCATCTGACCCGTTGCTACTGTCTGCAGTAGATGTTGCTGGCGTTTAGTGATGGTTGCTTTAACCATTTTCGTATAAATGATTATCCACAGATGTGCGTCACTGCTGTGGAAGCACTTTGGAAATGATGCACGCGCAGCGGAGCAGGTCACGCGCACCTGACACAATTTGTTGTTTGTATTTTTCGCTCCGTTCTCTTTTTTGAATAGAGGGTGCATAACATTCAACTGGGGGTGCAATGCATGCCTATGCACCCCTGAAGATCCCGACGCGAAGCCTGAAGGGTAAACACCAGGTTTACTAATCTACCCGCACAATTTGTCTCTGGTGTCGGAATGTCTCACTATGTTAGTACATTCTTAAAAAACAAAACACCATTTAATGTCGGGTTAAAATGTGTTGTAACTGCGTTACTAAGCATTGTAACAGGTAATATATTACCCAAAATGCATTAGTAATGCGTTACATTACTTCGTTACAGCAAAAAGTAATATATTACTGTAACTCCGTTACTTTTGTAACGCGTTACACCCAACACTGATCGTAAAGACACAGAATCTAACGGTGCCCACCACCTCAACACTGAAAGATACAAACTCGCGACGTTATCAACAAAAACGTACATCAAAACATGTGGCGCTAGGTAGCCTACAACGCTAACATGGTTTACCTTGGTTTTGTCTGGTCAAAACTGGTCTTCAATGGCATTAAAACGATAACAACGATGCTGTAGTTAATCCATAGGTTAATATCCAATGTGGCTGTGTCCCCTTTGAAATGTTCTGATAATCTATAAGCAATAAAACTGCAATTCCGTTTTCAAATAGTTGAGCAGGCCAGTATACGCTCTGTAGAAAGATTGAATGCGGGAAGACGCATTCCTTTTTTTTTAAAACATGAGTGTGTGCGGGACGATTTCCCTTCAATTTCATTGGCTCTAAAGGTGTGTCCACACAGCAGCTTTGACCAAATCTTGAAAATCCTGGAGCTGGGCGTGTCTGACAGCTTGGGGATTTCGCGACCAACAACCAATCACATGAATATCCCGCCCCCGACATACAAAGCAAAAAAACCCGGTTCTTCTACACTATTGTCAAATAGGAAGGGCTATGATGAACATTTATTTTTTTAACATTTTGAACATTTATGAGATTAATGTCTATGGTGCTATTTTATGCTACATTCCATGCTGGCTAATGATACTGTCTATGCTTGCTAGCAACGAAGTAAACTAGCAACGAAGTAAACTGGATATAAAATCCCCAAACGAGCGAAAACCTACCAGTTTCCCCCACAGCCTCTGCCACCTCCCCCCATGCCTGGTTCCTCCGGTTTGTATCCCGGTAAGTAAATAGGGACTGGTCATAAAGAACCGGGTGATTTGCTACCGCAATAACTAAGTTCTCCTCCATTTTTGTGGAATATAGAAATGAACTGCGGGTCTCGTTCTCCCAGCTTGCACGCGGTTTGATTGGCTAGCGCTTGAACTGTCAGATTTGCATAAACGGATCTGATTGGCTGTCGCTTCCAGCTCAGCCTCAAAGTTGAACAATGTTCAACTTTGGAATCCTGAACATCCTGGAAATCCTGGAAATCTTCGCCTCGCCCCCCCACAATGCAGTTCGGCGACAAGCGAGGGAAAGTGACGTCATCCCCATTCAAAGTCAATGGGCGGAGACGCGCTGGAAGCGGTGGACAAATCGCCAAAAGCTGCTGTGTGGACGGGCCGTAACGGTCAGAAAGAGATGTCACATGTCAAAATCGAAGAAGGGGGGCCAGAGATAAGGAAAATCCACCCAAATGGCCCCAGAAGAGGTGTTTTGCTAAATCTGTCTAAAAAGGTCAAATATCACTTGTTTTGCATCAATCTCGATACAGGGTACTTATTATATGTTGTACTTTGGATTCCTAAAGCTTTTAGTCCACTAACCCATCATCCAAGGTTAGTTTTCACTATAAGTGCAAAATATCTTTTGGACAGACATATAATTTACAGTTTTTTACCATGTTCAATCTGAATTTTCTTTAAAATAAAAAACATCTATAATGATTCTGACTTTTCTACATCCAACTCACAGGTTTATCATTACTTTGAGAAAAAAGATTATTAATGTAACCTTTTTAGAAGGGAAGATATGGACATCTGTTCTGGGAATGTCATTTTCGAGCCTGAAACCTGAAAAACAGGCTGAGACACTCCCTGAGTTACATGAGAGGAGACAGCGTTCAGCAGAGGAGGCGTGACAGAGCTCCTCCCTCACCTGACTCACCTGAGATAAACCAGTTAACAGTTTGTTATTCTCCCTCACTGCAGAGAGACAGACCGACTGAAAAACAGACGATCAGATTCACCTTCAGACCAAACTCACAACTTCCTCTGAGTTCAGCTACAGGAGAGAAAAGTGGAAACTACAACACTGCTGCTTCAACCTGCGGACCCTCCACCCCCTGAAGGTGAGTCTGACTCCAAACAATACTCAAATGGCGCTTTTCCACTGCAGGACCTAGCACGGCTTAGCAGGGTTTAGTTTGGCCTTGGTAGGCCATGCTCACTTTAAAGGTCCCGTGTCATGGCCATTTCTACTGATCATGATTCCATTGTTGAGATCTACTAGAACAGATTTACATTGTTCAATGTTCCAAACTCACATTGGTTTCTCATTCAGCATCTCTGTATAGTATGTGTATTCACTCTCTGTCCTAAACGGCTTCTTGGAGCTCCTGCCCCCCCCCCCCTCCCTATGAGCCCAGTGTGCTCTGATTGGTCAGCTCGCCCACTCTGTTCTGATGAGTCCACCACCGTTACAGCGGAACATCAGTGATTATGTGTGACAATGGCGTTAGCAGACAGGAAATGACACCAGTAATGGCAAACAGATGAGAATGCTGCGTGGGGTCTGGGTGCCGTGTTGGCGGGACGTTGCGGGGCTCGCTGCTCCGCCCTTTGAGGCTCGAGGAGTGGACAGTGTGAGTTGGATTACTGGTCTCGTTTCCTGGTTGCTGCTTGGGGTCTGCGAGACAGCGAGACACCGTAAAACTCACAGCCTGGCTGTTCGCCAAACACTCACAGCCTGAGAAAAGATAAGGCAGTCAGTGTATGTGCCGGCGAAACTCCGCGCAGTAGTGCGGCTGAGAAAAGACAAGGCTGAGTGAGTGTTTCTCCGCGATCCCAACTCGTCTATGACCAACGTTCAGGTAGCTCTATGCTCGACGCTAAAGGTCCCCCCCACTGCGTTTGATAGTGTTGCAAGGGATCCTGGTGTGTGAGGAGCTCCACGGATTGGTCCATTTGGATATGGTGACGTCACTGTGTGTGTGTACTCGCTACAGGGTGTACTTGGAGGGTTTGTGACTTTGCAGACCGTTTACATGCAGAAAAAGCTACATCACACCCAAGGGGATGGGTAATAACCAGAAAAGCATGACATGGGACCTTTAAGCTGCGTTTCCATTACAGTTAGTAACATTCCGGGTATTCACAACTCCGGACCAAAGAGTATGTCACAACATTCCAGGAGGCAAACTTTGTTTCGGAAAAGGCTGCGTATAGCAAGACGAAATACAGAAGAAACTAACAGGAGAGTTTGGGCAATCATACAACATGTATATACATGTGTTTGTCAAATGATTTAAAAAAAAAAAGTTATCAGAATTGACTATTTAGTAAATATTTGAATTTCAAGCACCTGTATACTGCCCCATAATAAGAACATTTGAGAAAATAACAGATCATGAAAAGAAACTCTTTCTAATAAATTAAGGTCTGTTTTGTTTGTTTAGATCTACTGTTAAAGGTGGGGTAAGTTTGAGAAACCGGCTCGAGATACACTTTTTATTATATTCCATGGAATGATCTTAACATCCCGATAGCAATGAATATCTGAAGTGCTTTGACAATAAATACATAAAAGAAGCCGTAGTTCTGTAAAAAGCACGACCAATCATCTGAGCCGGCTAAAGTAACTGGATGGCCTACCTGCCTGTCAGCCTTCCATCTGGGCACAAACTTATCTCGTGCCCTCATTGGTCATGTGCGCGTTCGTGTGTGTTGGAGGAGGGGCTCTGTGAGGAAGTGGCAGATTGTTTCTAATTCTAGCGCACTCGAGCTGGTTTCTCCAAAATGACCTACCCCACCTTTAACACAGAGGAAATCACGATAACAATACTTGTTACAAACAAACAGTTTAATCATCAAACAAGTGTAAATAACAAAGCAAACTATAATCATAAATACAACCGTTCCTGCTGGGCCCGGTTCAGCTCCTGCTGGGCCAGATCTGCACTGTGCATCTCCCTCAGGACTGTGAGTGCTCCTCTCCTTGTTTCCTCTTGCCTGGAAGACAATAAGATCAAGCTTTTTTCTTTTTAAATCACCATAGGGAAATGCAGGTGTCATAGCAGCTGCAGCAATAAGAATGAAACACACAGGACAGGTACAGGTCACGTAAGGACATAAGAATAAAAATATATAAGTATAAACAGAACAACGGTAAGGATGAACTAAAGACGGTTCTGGCTCTAGATGTTTACAATGATTGTGAAAGTGAATTACATTATGTCCAGCCTGTTGATAATGAATATAAATATATGTATGAGTATGTACAAATATCAGGGTTCGTACGGGTGCTTGAAATCCTTGAAAATGCTTGAAATTTGACGTGGTGTTTTCAAGGTTGGGAAAGTGCTTGAATTTTGGGAATGGTGCTTGAAATTGAGATAAAGTGCTTGAAAATGTAAATGCTTTACTTTTACAATAAATTGCTGTCTGACTGAATAGTTCGCTTTTTAGATTAAAAGAAAAATTGCTTCACTTCTACATAAAACATCCCCGCTCCGGCCTTCCCGCGCTATGCGCGCGACCTGCAAGTGTTTGTGTGACCTGGGCATTCTGATGAGAGATATAGAGATGACAGTATGCCAGGAGGTTGCTGTTTTAATGAGCGTTGACTATCCGAAGAAAAATACAAGCCATGACTAAAACCATGCAAAGGTTGCCAAAAAGAAATGCAGTTGTTCTCGATGGGAGAGTTTGCGCTGACGAGCCACATGAAAGGTAAGCCGTAGTAGAGCATTTTGGCTTAGGCTAACGTTGCATGTTACGTTTGTTTAAGCTAGTAACGTTAGCGAACTCAATGTGGGATAATTGCTTATGCAGGTGACAATAATTTCAGAGGAGCGTACCTATGTCAGTCGCCATTCTGAGGTGTTTCATGTCACACAGAATGATTTTAAAAGCAATATATTTCTACTGGTAGTTCGTGCCTAAACTTGCTCCATCGAAATCAGTCGCATTAACCCGGAAACACATTTTGAGTTATATACACTGTTGGAAAGAGGATATTCCTAGCTTTCTAACGGAGGAAACACATTTTCGTTTGAACTGGTCTGGGGGAAGCTCGCGAGAATGTGTGTGTTTGTGTATTTTTGCGTTTGTGTGTATTGTGTTTGTTTCCCGGGGAAAACACTCACGAGAAACACCGGCTGTAGTTATGCCTGCTGTGACGTCATGTTACTCCGTTCTCCGCTTGTAATTATGCCGAAGCTTCAAAGCTGTATTTATCATCTGAATTTGCCGAAACAAGTTTAATATTCTGAAAGCTAAGACTTTGTTTATTTGAAATCAGATGAAAACAAACTGTAACGGACCCTGCCGTGTTATCTGATTACTATACGCCATATATTCATAATGTCAGCCGGAGGGAGGGGGAGCAGCGCTACGGAACAGCAGAGTGGCGAACTTTAGTGGAGTAGAAGTGTACACAGTTGCATAACATGAAAGTACAAGTATTTTAAAATTGTATTTAACCCTCTATCTATGGCATAGTGTTGCCCTCAGGCAACAAACCACTTTTTTCGATCTCACACTGGCCCTCTACATATATATATATATATATATATATATATATTTAAATATACAAAATGTCACCTGACATGCTGGTGTCCAATACAATTAGGGAATTATATGGGTGTGGTATTTTGTCTGGGGGTGGAGCAGTCCTTTCTGCAAGCAAAGCTGCAGGGGACTCAGGGCCACCACTTGGTAAGATATATTTCACTTTTTAACATATTAGAAATGTACACAACTTAAAATAAACACACACAGACACACACACACACACCACACACATACACAAAGACATACACACACACACACACACACAGACACACACAGACACACACACACACACACACACACCACACACACACACACACACAGAGACACACACACATACACAAAGACATACACACACACATACACACACACACACACACACAGACAGACACACACACAGAGACACATACACAAAGACAGACACACTCACACACACACGACAGACACATACACAAAGACAGACACACACACAGAGACAGACACACACACTCACACAGACACACACAAACAATGAGCCTCATTTTCTGATTTAAAAAGTGGTTGTACATTTGATCTTATGATAAATCAATATTTTAAAAACCAAAACTCTTACACAGAAACTGACCTCATGCTGTTACTTAGATTAAAGTTCTATTTTTATTAGATAGAGAAATACCGTGCGTTTTATGGGGAGTTTGTCTATAATTTATATACATATATCTTTGTATGATGTAGAAAGTGTGTGCTCTGTGGCCTCGCTCTCTTCACACTGTGCTCGGTTGGTCACATTGTATCAAAAGAAAACGTTTGTCCTAACCTTGGAGAGCCGTATGTTTACTGCCAACCTAAAAGGACCTCAAAAATGTTAATAAAGAATGTATTGAAAAGTTATTTGGCTGATTGCTTTATATTGGCTCAGCCAGGTTATATGGGATGCCCAGTCTACTTACATATGGGTCACTCGTTTTAAAATATTAAACTTTTATTTTTCTTTAATTTGTCATCCTCGTGTAGAAGGCTATTACGAAACACACATTTGGTTGTTTATAGCATAAAGAACATCTGATTTAATGTGAGGTAGGGAAATAATCATTTGAGTATAAGTATGTGCATATAAATATGTAATTTACAAGTGCCGCTGTAAGCTGCTTGAAAAGCTTGAAAATGCTTGAAAAGTGCTTGAATCTGACTTTGGAAAAGGTGTAAGAACCCTGAAATATGTTTACGTCACTAGTTTAGCATATTCCGCTCGGTTGTTGGCTCGGTAGGAACCTCGATTTTCGAGGACCAGAAAAAAAGTTTAAAAGTACCCGTGAGCCGGAACTACCCCTCGTGGAAAAGCAAAAAACAGCGGGCCGGGCCAAACTAAGCCGTGCTAAGCTGTGCTAGGTCCTGCAGTGGAAAAGTGCCAAAAGTGAATTTCAGTGAAGTCATTAGAGGAGGGGGAGGGGAGCCATGACTGACTGTATACTCCTGTCTGCTGTGTTTCAGCTTCACTCAGAGACAACATGGCTTCCAGGTTAGAGGAAGATCTCTGCTGTCCGGTCTGTCAGGAAGTCTTTAGAGATCCTGTCATCCTGTC